ATAGATGTAAAAAAAAAACCCTCACAACCTTTCCAACCTTTACTGTTACATTTTGCTAATGGGATTCTGAGCTACAACTTCTAAAATAAATGTCATGTTAAAGGATGCAGAAGTTCTCTTAGCATTGGAAGATGATTATGAATGTTTTTATAAAGATTCTCTTTTCTTTGTGGCACGTGAGCATGTTAAAGTACTATTTGGGGGTGGTGTCTCTAATAAATATTTGCAATAATGTGGGCACATTTGTATTACTTCGATGTCTAATAAATATAAAACATTAATCTTGTTTTGGAAAAGGAGTGATTAGGAGGTAGGATAAGACACGAGACTCTTCCTTATGGAATCCTGTTTAAAAGTGATCATGGGATACAGGAGATGACAGTGTCATACCTAAAAGTGTGTGGTCACATAGGAAGGTTAGCTAATGCCACTTAGTTCTTTTTGTGTAGTACAAAGAAAATACATCCAGTAGTATTGGAACAATATTTTGCCTGTTGACCATCTGCAGGAAGTCCTTCACAGGCAAATTACTGTGTAGAATTAACTGAAACCAGATGTGTGGTGGCCTCTGGCACTGATGGTGATTACTACATCTGGTAGTGAGAACAGGTCTTGTGATGGACATAAGCTTGTGGCACCAAAGGATTCAAAAGACTTAGAGGCAACAAAACCAGAAACTTCTTAGGAGCTAACCAAATTTAAGGATGTGTGAGTGGAAAAGGGGTTAGTTCTTAAAGTGGTAGGCCCTTGGAGTTCAGTAAACCAGATGGTAGCCCCAGGCTGTTCAATCTTTAATTAGAAGTAACCTGTTGGAATTAATTACTTCAGCATCTCAATTAAGAAGGCAAAATCTGTGGAAGAAAACTTTCTGCTGCAAAGTAAATAAGCTAACTTCAAAGAGCAGGATGGGAAAGGGAATGGGAGCATTTGATGCAGCTATATAGCTTTGGATTTGCAGTTGATCATGCCTCCTGATATCTATTTGTTTTACTGCAAATATTTTTAAATTATCTGTTTCTGTATACTTACAGTATAGTACTCTTCAGCATATCATTCAGTGTTGTTCCTCTCAGCAGTCATTAGCGACCAGCTAAACCTGCAGTTCTGGTGTCACAAATGTTGGCTTTCAGTATGCCCTTTTTCTTCCTAGCATTAAAATAACATTCACCACTCTTCCTTCTTAGCATTTTCCATGTTAGGCCTGGTTGGTTTACAGCTCTTTTGCAAAAAACACTTGGTCTTACAGATTTACTCTTTTGCTTCCTTTGCTATTTTTGGTTTTGCTATTACAATTTCTAAAGAAAACAGAGTCTGTTTCTTTTGTTTTATTGTAATGCTCTTCATAAACTACCTCATTTTGCTTTTAGGTCTTTGGTGGCAGTTTTTACTACTAGTGTTGATATACATATTCCAACAAGAGTGTGGAAAAAGTAGCAGTTTCTTGAAAATGGACTGTATTGCTTTAAAGGACTAATAGACTTTCTCTACAGTTTAAGCAAATGTAGTCTGAAGTTAAGTGTTTTGAAATGCAGAATTTATTAACACTGAACATGCGTATCTCCTTTGTGTGTACAATAAACTCTAAGATGATGGAGCAGTTATTGTACTCGGACACAGTGCGTTGATGTTTTTCTCCAAAGAAGCACATTTTTGTCACGCTTAAAATAGGTGGGGAGGCTGTGTACTTGTGAGATCTTGCTATCTCAGCTGCTTCTATTTATATGTACTGTGTCCCCCCTTTTAAATAAGGGGGGGCGGGGGTGGGTGGGGGAGAGAAAAAGGGAAAGAAAAGTAGTTGGATGTTATGTCATAGTGTGGAATGTATTTCCAAAGTGTGTATGTCTTTACATTTCCTTAAAGATTTTAAAGTACAGTGGCATAAGTAGCTTGTATAAACTGTAGTACTATTTGGCAGTAGTTACAGATTTTTAATGCCGATTTTTATTTTCCAAATTTTTGCATAGGTCTGTAACCAGTGATGAAGGATCCGTGAATGCATTCACAGGAAGGGGGTCACCTGGTAGGGGTCAAAAGACTAAAGTCTGTACCACACCTTCATCTGGTCATGCTGCATCTGTGAAGGATTCAAGCAGCAGATTGCCTGTTACAGACCCCACTCGGCCTGGTGCCACCACCAAAATCACCACCACCTCCACCTACATACCTGCCTCTACACTTAAAGTTAACAAGAAAACCAAAGGGCTCATTGATGGCCTTACTAAGTTCTTTACACCATCACCTGATGGTCGCAGATCGCGAGGTGAAATAATAGACTTTTCAAAGCACTATCGTCCAAGGAAAAAGGTCTCTCAGAAACAATCATGCACTTCTCTTGTGTTGGCTACAGGTACCACACAAAAGCTAAAACCTCCACCTTCTTCACTTCTACCCCCAACCCCCATCTCTGGTCAGAGCCACAGTTCGCAAAAGTCCAGCATTTCCACTTCTTCTAACTCTCCCCAAAGTTCTTCCAGTCAGTTAACTGTACCCTCCTTTAGTAGCCTTCCTAGTAACAGTCAGCTAAAGGGACTCTTTGATGGACTCTCTCATATCTATACCACTCAGGGACAGTCTCGAGAAAAGGGACACCCAAGCTATGCACCACCCAAGCGTTTGCATCGTAAACCAGAATTATCCTCCTCATCAAAATCTAATAACCATTTCTATGGAAAGAAAGAGTTTAGGAGTAGATTTATTTCTCGTGCCTGTACTTCTGCATGGGGTGTGTCTAGAGGACATGCTTTTAAAGCAATTGCTCACCTCAAGAGAACAACTTTCCTTAAAAAGCACAGGATTCTAGGCAGATTAAAGTATAAAGTGACCCCTCAGATGGGGACCCCCTCACCAGGGAAGGGGAGCTTGGCAGACGGAAGGATTAAACCTGATCAGGATGATGGTAAGCAAAGGTCAAAGCGCCAACCAAACCTGCGTCCCGTCCAAAACCAAAATTCTTATATTGTCACATAGGTCTTAGCTATTTCTCTTGTTCACTTCACTTTCATACAAAAGCAATGAAACTTTGACCTTTTATCTAATGCTGACTAAATCTCCAAAGCATTTTTTTTGGTTTTGGTTTTTTTTTTTCCTAACTAATACCACACCACCTTTTTATTATTTTTTGCATCTGTAGTGACACTAGGAGCCCCAAATGTGTTCATAATGTTGCTTATGGCTGTGTAGTACCGCATGAGTAGCCACTTTTCATGCTACTTCCTTGTTCTTACCATGCCCTTTTTCTGGCAGTAGTGCTGTCATCATGATTGTGTGCTCTCAGTGCTTATAATGGTGGACATTTCAATTCATTTCCCTCTGCTCCATTGCTTTTTCATGAACAATTCCATTCTGCTACAGTCTCCACAACACTTGATCTGTACTGCTGTGAGCTACCTTTCTTTTATATTAATTTTATTTAAGAAGAAATATATTTATAGAATTTGAATGTAGATTTCGCTTAGCATTGGTCTCCAACTTTAAAGGGCAACTTTTTTATCTTATTTTTACCTTGTAAAGTATACTGGCATTTATCAGGTGGCATAGTTCTAGTGATAGAATTACTCCATTTCATGAGGTTCAAAACTAATTTAATAGAACTGGACTATAAAGGCTTATACAGGCAGACAAGCAAGTACCAAAAATAGCTTATGCAACAGCAAACTACAAAACGAGAAGGGGGGGAAAGGTTTCATTTCTGTTTGCGTAGTAATCCCAAGTTTGGTTAAAATGGGGAGTTGTAACAGCCATAGTTGCTACAATCCTATTTAGGAGTATCATTTTGGTAAGGCAAGTGGTAACATTCACGTCTGTGAATAAGCTTTTTGCTGGTTTTAAATAACAGATACTGAAATCAAACTAAGCATCAAACAAGAAAATACGGATGTATTTCTGGTGGGAAGCAAGGACACTGTTACACAGGAGGATTTGGAAGTATTTAAGCAAGCTCGAGAACTTTCCCTGGAGGTAAGAATCATGTTGCATAAAATGTAGTGATTTCTGTAATAAAACAGAATTTTATTCTGTAATAAAAACTAAGTTCACTTTCTTATGTTTACCCATCTTGATTTTAAATATATTCCTTTTGATCTAGTATGTCATGCTCGCTGTGAATTTAATTTGTGAGGCACTGTATATACAGTTACATTCTCCTAGATGTGATGCCTAGAAATCACACTGGAATGGGTCAGATAAACGACACTTGGGATAGACTTTGAAAGATATTCTTGAGCATTTTGGACACAGGACTACCACTGATTAAGCATAGAGATTAAGTATAGCTGGCATCCTGGTCAGGACTGAGAGGATGTTGGTTGGTAAGATGTGCCTGATGATTTTCCTCTGCAGATGGAGCATCCACTGTGAAAAGTTAAGTCTGTCCCAGCAAATACTGGGTTTAGTGAGTGCGTAATTTAATTTTACCCATTCATTAACACACTTTGAGTTCAAGTAGTATAGACTTTTTTTAGTGGTGAAAATAATTGAGCTGAATCTGACTAACACTGTTGATACCAGCTGGTAATGCTCCTCTTTGAGGTATGCAGTGGTAATCTACAGCTTGTGGAGCCTGAGCTTTTTTTTTTTTTTTTTTTTTTTCCCCAAGGAAGCACATGGTAGCACATGGCAGCTGTATCTTCTTATAGCAAACTAGGCTTTTACTTTTCTGTGTCTGTGAAATGAGCAACCAGTGTCTTTGAGAACCTGGGTCAGAAGGGAGGTGCATGTACTGTTTCAACTACTGCTTTTTATAAAACTGCATCATAAAACTTGTATGCTTTTTGGTAAGTCACTTAATATTTTTCAGGTTTAGTGTACAAGAACTGATATTACCTGCTATGGGTTAATGCCATGACCTTTTTATAGTCTTAATTCAGAGTGTGTTAATCAACAAACTCAAACCAAGTTTAAAGATTCAACTTCATTATTACTTTGTGCTTCCATTTGCTTGTGGAAATGGTTCCCACCTCCTCCTTTCTTTGTCTTTCATATGCAGTCCAAAAAATCTAAAATGCACGGCATTGAAATTTCTTTTTTTTTTCTGCCTAGCTTTCTTTTTTTGTATTTTGCCAGCCCTTTAGAGTCTAGCAGGCATTTTCTGGTCAGCTCAACTTCAGTATGGTAGCTGAGATTAGTGTGTCTTAGTATACTGTTGACTGTTACTAGGTAAATTCAAAGGCCTCTATAAGGGTTCTGCTGATGCCTTCTTCCTCATTGTTTTGACAAAAGGACAGCTTTGGGTTTGAACCAGAAATGTAGAGAAGTCCTTGCACTAGATTCTGTGGGAGAAGAGAACTGAGGCGGTTGTGCCTCTTGCTTGCCTGAGCCATGCACCGTCTATTTGTGTGTACTTACTTGTAAGCACTGCTCACTTAACTTCATATGTAGTTGTTTGGCACCTTGAAAGAAATTTTCACTGTTTATATTTGGCTGTTTGCAAACTCTGTCCTCTGTCTGTCCAGATTGGAAGAACTTAAGCAACTGATTTGAATACTTCAGGTTTCTCATACCTTCATTGGGTGAAATTGACAATATAAAACTAACTTTGCTTTTACTTTTTCTATAATTAACATTTTGCTTTTATTGCATGTGACAGAAAATTGGGTGTAAAAACACTGGTGAAACAGGTGGGCGATACCCTTCAGTGATTGAGTTTGGAAAATATGAGATCCAGACCTGGTACTCTTCACCTTACCCACAGGAATATGCAAGGTAGCAAGTTGTCAAGATTGTCTTACATTATTAGAATTTTTACTAACATTGTTTGTAATTGACAACTTTTGAAAGTAAATATGCTTTTGTAATTATAAGTGAGAACAAGGTTTTGTCTTTTTTTAGTAGTTCTAATGAAAGATGCATTAAAAAGACTGATTTTCCTAGTCTTGCATAAATATAATCTTGCAGTGTGGCATAGTTTTGTTTGGGTTTTTTGAGGGAGCGTGCGTTTGTTTTGTCGTGTGGGTTTGGGTTTGTTTGGTGTTTTTTTTTAACCATTGCAACTGTATGTCCAACTTCCAGCCATTTAGAGCAATTAATCTTGTTTGTCATCCAGAATTTGTTAACCTCCTTTTTCTAGGGACCAGGGAGAAGTCTGAACATGCTAGATAAATAAAGTGTGCAAATTGTGGCAGCAGCATCTTGTTTCTGGCCGTCTTTGCCAGGGTGCACCTCAGAGTCAGGCAGAGAGCATGAACTATAGTACGTGTGCTCAGCAGATTTCTGCTGATTTTTTTGCATGTGCTGAAAATAAATGTCTTATGAATCCATTGGATCTCTGGCACACATGGAGATTTTCAGAACTGTGTGTTTATGAAGCTCTACTACTGTAGCAAGCAACCAAGTTATGTGGCCTGTTCCAAAATGCCTTTGCATAGTGTTGCTCTAAACTGCCTTTTCTCTCCATCCCTGTCATTCCTAGATATAGTCATCTTTGCATGGTGGGAATGAGGGATATATTGTGAACTGGTAATACAAAAATCAAGGGCTAAAAGAAGTGTAGAGAGCATTTTTATTTCCTCTCATTACCACTGCTTCTGTAGGGTTAATATTTTATTTCAATTACTTTTTTTTATTCCCTCAATTTATGTCATATTGTGTTACCTGTTCCATCAAGTAAATTAATTCCAGATAGAGACGTAATGATGGATAATAATTAGTGTGAGGCAACAGTGGGATGTCATCTATAGGAGGCAGTGTGGTTCTCTGCTCTTGGTGCAGTGGGATTACCTCATGGAACAAACAGTTCAAACTACTTTTTTCTGTTGTTAATAAACTTTCTTAAATAGTAGTGTAAATCATGGCTATGATCCCAATGTGATCCCAGGATGTGCCAGTAATTTCAGAGCAGCTAAAGATTGTTCTCTGCTCTAAAACTTTGTAGACCATTTCGTTTCTGAAGTAGTCTTCCACTGCTTCAGTGATTTAAAAATGAAGGTAAACAGCCATAAAACTAACTGAAGTGGTTTCTCGTATGTCAGTATTGTCTCACATGGGGCATTTGGCTTACTTGTAGTCTGAACTGTATCCTTCTTGGAGGACTGCAATAACCTATGCTGCCTGTGTCATGGAGATGTGTGGAAGAGACGTTTTGCTTCTATGCAAACTGTTTGGATTGGCTTCTGTGTTCAAGTAAAGCGATAGTTTAGGTGGAGGTGAGGGTGTACAATCCTACTACAGTTTGCTGTCCCATGCAAGAATTTGGAAGACAATGGGGGGGGAAAAAAGTCATCTCCTACCCTTCCCTACATACAAAATAAGGAAGATCAAAGGGAAGGAGAATCCCTATATTCTACTGTGTGCCTCCTTTGTCTTCACTGGAAGAAAGGTGAAATTTGAGGTATGACTCCAATGTGCCGACTTTGATGGAGACCACAGCAAAAGCTTAGGTGGGATGTGGGGGATGTAATTGGGATCTGCCAGAGGCTGGACCACAAAACAGCTGACTACAGTCCAGCTCTATTGAATTAGGATCACTGTGATTGAATCTCATCTTGCCTGTCTTCCTTTTGTAATGGCTGATGTGTGTATAGTTTAATCATTCACTCTAATGTGATATTTATTTATTTATTTATTTAAACTTAAGCAGCATTTACTTATGGTATCTTTAAATAGGGAGGGCCTTTCGCTTTGTGGTAACTTTATTTACATAATTTAATGAATTTTTTGTATAAAATGTCTTTCTGATTTTCGTACAGATTACCAAAGCTTTACCTGTGTGAATTCTGTCTTAAATACATGAAAAGTAAAAACATTTTGTTAAGGCACTCAAAGAAATGTGGCTGGTTTCATCCTCCAGCCAATGAAATCTACAGAAGAAATGACCTTTCTGTATTTGAGGTAGGTATATGAAATACCTAAATTTCTGAAAGTAACAAAGTTTGTAGACATTACAGACCAGTTGAAGAACTAGTGAAAGGTTTAACATTCTTAAATACTTCCTTGGGGATACTTCTTATACTGCAAAACCAAGTCCATCTTCCCTCTACTGTTCCACCCTGCCATGTTCTCTCACAGTTCTTACTTTCTGTATTTGTACTTCATGCATTAGCCAGCCTCTTCAGATACTTGTATAGTAGGCATCTTAGATGGAGACTGCAATTGGAAGCCCTTTGACTGGATTTCCTTTCCCTTGTGAGCAAAGTGCCTCTTGCACACATTCCTTTCTGGCTATTTGAGTATTTTGGATGAAGGGAGAATACTAATCATTAATGCAGATGCTTCCAATGTGTAAAAGCAAGCAAAGCAGTTTATTGTGTATTGTTCTGAAAATACAAATGTGGCGACTAAGTGCTCTTGCCTTCCTTTTGGATGTTTGAGAAACTTGCCCTGAAACATCCTGGTTGGGTTATGGAGGTTGAGTCCAACTTTGGCCAGAACACACTACTTTTAATTTAGAAAGTCCAGAGTTAAGCTTGTGGATAAGTATTCTTTTATGATCTAAATTATTCTGTTGGGTAATGACTTCTTTTAAAGTTTGATATTTTAAGGATATCCTGGACAATAGAATTCTGTGTTTCAGATAGCATCCCTGCAGTTATTAAAGCTATGCATTAACCTCCATGTTCCTATTTCTCAAGAATTGTTACTGATTGCATTAACAGAAAAGACTGCTGGGGTTACTAGGGCCTCTGTTAAGGCTGTTTCTCAACAGCAGTATTTAGATGTGTATATTGATAACTTTTAATTGCAGGTATCATAGATTCATTCTCCTTGAAACTTGTGATTTGATATTGTATAGATGTCTGTTCTGCTTGGTCATTGCTGTTATCTGTTCAAGCAATGGTAGATGCAGTCTTGAAGTCCTTAAACTAGATCTTCATACTTGGTTCACTTGGGGTTTTTTTGTGCTGTGAAAAAAAGTAGTTAGCTGCATTAAAATTGCTTCCTTCCTGAGTTGTGCAGTTTTTATGAAATTTGTAGATCTGCCAGCAAAAGATTGAAGTTGTAACTCCTCTCCTGTCAAGAAACAAAGTTGTCCTAGTCAGTCCAAAATAAGTTACATTTATTAGCAGGTGTTAAGAACTGTGCAGCACACAATAGGCAAATCCTGCTTTACAGTTATTTTCACTACCTAATGCCAATATGTGAATAAAAACTTAAAAAAAAAAAGTAAAATACAGTTCTGAGAAGAGGGGTGGGGAGGTGGGACATTGACACAAAAATCACATGGAAAACAAGGTGCGTGTGAAAGCACTCCTTCTCAGCTGCTTTTATTCCCTTTCTCTAGTTGAGGTGCTTCAGGAAGCATTTATGTTAAGACTTCTGAAATAAATTGGGTTTTTTATTTCAAAGGTTAATGTTGGTTGTTACTCTGATTAACTATAGAGACTTACTCATCAGTTGATGTCCTTCCTCAGATATTTTCAGGAATTCTGTACACCCGTTTTCTGTTAGGCAGAATGAAGGGTTTGTGGTTTCCTTCATGCTTTCTGGTTTTCAGAGAAATAGAAAGGAGTTTGGCATTTAAGATTTATGTACCTCTGCCCAGAGCAGGACTTTGACAGATTTGAGAGAAGACTTTGACATAGTTTACTACTAGGCTGTAGACAAGACAGTTTTGATAAACGCCTGCCTTTGAACTTGCAGGGCCCCCCCTGTTTTTTTCCTCTCCTCTCCTCCCTTTTTTTTTTCTCTCCTCTCCCCCCCTTTTTTTTTTCTCTCCTCTCCCCCCTTTCCATTAACTGCTTTTTTTTCTTTAATCAAGACAATGAGACTGTACTACTGAAGGCACCTTGAAATCCCTAAATGCAGCCAAAAGGTTGGGTTTTACTCAGATTTGTAACTAGGATTCTTACTAAAATCAAATTAGAACAGAAGATGGCTGCTTCTTTGGCAGGGTGTGCGTACCATTTGGCTGTCTCTGTGAATGAAACACAGCTAGTGACTTTATCGAAGAACATCAGTACAAGCAAACCTTTTGATTGAGAAGTTTATTTTAAAAGTGCTGTTGCCTTTGACTGAGCCTTCCCTTTCAGGGAGTAACTAATTGATCTAGGAAATCTGCATCTGTGTCTAGCTCTTCTGCAGCTGGCTGAGTCACAGCTTGACTCTTTACACTTGCAACATACCTAGACTAATTGTAGTGCTTAGCCTGAAAATTTGCTTCTCTCACTCAATAGTGTTTTAGTCTGGCATAGAAATTTTGTCTTGTCTAATTTGTCTAAAACATTGCTGTGATTGATACGTGATTGGCGACTCATTCATTGGCTTTACACCTTAAGGGTTCAACATAATTACTTTAATGGGGTTTTTTTTGTTGGTTTTGGGTTGGTGTTTTTTTAATTATTCTACACCACTGCCTTCTAGCAAACCACAGTTTTAATGTAGTTTTAACTAGTACATTTTTGTTGTCTGCCAGTCATATTCGTTTTCATTCCAGGAATGAAATGAAAGAGGTTAAGTCTAACTTGAATAATGAAAAGGTGAAGTTACTTTCTTTAATAAATCCGGATACTCAGAGGAAACTTCCAAACACAAAGTAATTAGTAGTAACTGGAGAATTCTTATTTAACGAGAAGCTGGGGCATTTCTTTTCTGAAACTTAATGTGGTTTTTTTTCTGTAGCGCCATATAGTTCATGCTTCCTTCTAGGATATGATTGATTCAATAAATTGTTTTGTCCTAACATGTTGGTGGGATGGAAGTAACTGCATCTGTCTTGCTTTCTAGGTTGATGGAAATGTGAGCAAAATTTATTGTCAGAATCTTTGTTTGCTAGCTAAGCTCTTTCTGGACCACAAAACCTTGTATTATGATGTTGAACCATTCCTCTTCTATGTCCTTACAAAAAATGATGAGAAAGGCTGCCATTTAGTTGGATATTTCTCTAAGGTAAAAAAAAAAAAAATTTTTTTAAACATTTGTAATTTCCTGCTCTCCTTAATGCTTGTGCCAATAGCGAAGAAAAACAGTTCAGAAGCTTGAAATCTTCTCTGTAAATCTTAAATATAATGTGCATTGTCTCAAATACACTTGTACTTTCTTGTCTCAGACTGATGCAAATTGGGAAATTGTATGTGCATTCAGCCACATTCATTGGGGTGGTTTTTGTTTGGTTTTTTGGTTTCCAAAATGTGTTGTGATTTCAGTTGAAAATTAAGTCTTTTTCCTCCTCCTCCCATTTTTGCAATAATATACAAAGTCTAACTTCTAAAAGTGCTAGGTGTTTGAATTGTTGGTGTGTTTTCATGGTTTTGCTGCTAGCAGTTCAAACTGGCTATCTAGACATAAATGGCCAGCTACGTTCATCTCTTGGGTACAGTCTGATCTAATCAAGTTACTGATTACATTGAATGTAAGAATGCATTGCCTAACTTTATGGTGGATGCCCTCTTTAGAGTGGATGTGTCTCTTGGTTGTGGTTTTGCTTTGAATTTTAAAGCAATAGGTGGCTGCTATAGACAAAAATAATACTTATGTGGATGATCTTGAAAAAATTATGAAAAATAATAGTGAAGTATAATTAGATGTCTGCAACAGGAAGAGCTTCCATTATTTTCTGTAATTTGTCCCTAAGAAATGTGTATGAATTGGTACAGTTACTCAGAAATTCAGTACCTCTTGACCCTATATCACCACCTCCTATTACCTATATGATTTTCTTTAAAAAGTGATTTGTATGAAGATACTATTTTGAAGAAGTCTAAAAATCTTGTCAGTGTACCTGCATATTCTACAGTGATCTCTTGGGGGTCTGACCAGTGCCTTCAGAGATGTGGGCCTTACTGGCATTAGAGTAACAGTGAGATGTGTAGGCACAATTGGCACATTCTTATGTCAGGCGTACAAACATGTGAACTCTGATATAGGCAAGTATTTTCTGGATTTATTTAAGATACTGCAGGTGTTAAAGTGAGTCTCTCAGTGTTTGTTCCTTCTTTCAGCAAGGATGCATTTTCTTCCCCCACTTCACTCCTGCTTTTGGCCAATCAATTTGTCACATCCGATGATCACAAATGTTTTAGATACCTAAAGTTAGGAAAAAAACCTTAATCTCAAACTATGTACTGAATTGCATGTGTCGTCCGGTGCCCCTTTTTTTTTTTTCCTTTCAAAAAAAAAAAAAAGTGCGTGTGCTCTAGCTCTAGCTTTTTTTCCCTGATTACGAATATGTTGCCAGGATGTGATCATTGTACTAGCAGCAGTCTTGAGTGTTTAGGAAGCCTGTACAGAGAAAATATTTCACTGTACCATAGAAACTAAGAAACCTTGCAAAATACGGCTTGGGTATCTGCTCTCATAGCTGAAGAAATGTTTGGAAACCAACGTACTGGCATGCAATCCTGTTGGAAGCATCACTGGTCTGATGTCATCTTACGTGTGGAGGCTGAAGTGATAGGTGGTGTCTTAAACTATATGTGTCCTTGCCACAACTTCTTATCAGTTATGCTGAGCTGGATATTTTTTGTTGATTTATTTGATCTCCCTCAAAACTACCTGTGCTGATTTTAGGGGGCTGTTTTGCATGTAGTCTTTTAAAGGTAACAAGACTTCAAGGCTCTTCCTTTTTATTAGTAAATCTGAAAGAACCTTATAACCTTAGATTGTTAGAACAGCTTCCTCATTTAGATTCTTCCTTTTGTTGTCTTAAACATCAGTAATATTTGTCTCTGTTATATGACTTCTTTCTGTCTGAAAGAGCTCTGGCTTCTGAGCGTTCTGCCTTGATTTGGATTCACGTGAAAAGCATTCCGCTTTGAAAAAGTTAGTATGCTTCAAGTATAACTTCTTAGTTCTATGCATATGGTGTCTCTCCCCTCCACCCTGACCCCATGTTCATTCAGAGAGAGAAGACAAAATACAGATGGAAACCAGCAGGCACTTAGTGTAGCAAATGCAGAAAATACAACTTCACCATGTGTACGGATATTATTTTCCACTTTTATATCCTTGACAGAATTGTCAGTGAAGCATGAAAATATTTCCCTCCTCTTCCCATCCTTCTCCTTTACAGCACTTAACTTCATTATGCTGTTTAGACAATGTATTTAAATTTTAAGATACTGAGTAGTTAACTAATAAAAAAATATTTTGAAGAGTATGTTTGCTACTTCCTACTTATAATTAAATATTAATGTCAAGTTATTTGACTTTGGTACTGACCCCATGCGTCTGTTCACCTTATTTGGTGTATTTTACAAGGACAGTGGCAGGTGCAGGCAATTGCCCACTTCAGCAGTGCTTTGATGTACTTGATCTGTTTCTCCTTCCCACAGGAAAAGCTTTGCCAGCAGAAGTACAATGTCTCCTGCATAATGATCATGCCCCAATACCAAAGGCAAGGATTTGGAAGGTTTCTCATTGATTTCAGTAAGTGAAGTGTTTTATTTACACTTGTGTTCCAGGGAGCTGATGGCTGTTATAAGAAATTGTAACATATGAGACTTGAACTTGCTCTGTTGTTTTTATCAATAGATAATGGGATTTCTGTTTATATTTACATGGATAGAAAAGCTCCCTGAAGTGAAAAACTTAGAGCTGCTCTGTTATTGTACTTAAGGAAATTGAGACTGGATCTCTCAGCAGTAATATTAGCTCACAAAGCTATTACCCTGAATGAATTCTCTGAATTACTTTCCATTTTGCCTTGCTCATTAGTGTAAGAAGAGCCAATTATTTGTGATTATAGCTAAGAAGGTGTTAGTCCAAGGCGTTCTCTACATTGTAATGTCTCTAACTTGTATCTTCTTTTAGCTAGAAAACTGTTTTAGCTGAAGAATTGCCACATAGAAGGAATGCATTTTCGTTTTTGTCTTCAAGTTCATCACTTCCTTAGTTGAAACCATTACCAAAAAAGCATAGGTGCTCATGGCTGTATATGTAGTTGCTGAGCTGTCTGACCTGTTAGAAAGCTTCAGGCACACTTGTTTAAATATAGATTTGTTATTCCCCAAATCTTTAAGCTGCAGTGAAACTCCAGACAAGATTGTCTAAAGAAATTTCAGCTGAGTGTCCTCAGTAGTACTGTATTCAGCTTTCTGCTGTCATTTAGAGGGAGAATGATAAGGTATTATTGTATATTGTATGTGGTTAGTTTTCACTATTACTTATGGTTTTTAGAAGCACTGTAGAATTACTTGACAATAGAGGTAACTAAGGTAATAGGTTTCCTGCCCTGAAGATGTATGCAAGAACATTAAAATGCAAATAATAATACATTGCAGTATAACAGCGGGACAAAGAACAATTTCTAACTGTAGAGTTTTCAAGTTCTGTGTCTTGTACTGTTCTACCCAGCATGACTACACTAGACTTCATAAAGATACTTAGTGTGTCCCATCATTGTATGGCTTTATAAGCAGTCTTCACTATACCCCTGTCAGTTAGGTGAGGATGGTTCTGGACCACTTAATCCACCACTGAAAAGTCTCTGTCACTGGAGCGGAACGCAACAGCTGTTCCATTGTGTACCTTCTGCAACCTTTTAGGAAAAGCAGTGAGAAGCACCTTGTGTATCTGGAACTGTGGAGCGAACTTTAAGCTTACTTAGGTAGAAATTTGCCCTGGTTTAGGATTAAGATCTCTTCTTGCGAAAGAAGATGGAGAACTCTTACTGGGCACGACTGGTAAGTACTTCCAGGCTTTCTCTTTGTTTTTCTTTTTACTCTGTGCTGTCTTTCAAAAAAAGCACTCTTGACAAACGTTATTCTGGTTGAGTTTGTGATAGTTACATCTACAAAACTGGTGGCGCAGCTATGAAACCTGTGGATTCCACAGAGGATCTGGATATGAATATACTGGTGTCTCTCTGGATCTGTGCTCTGTTGCTGTGCCATGAGCTACTTAATCTGGAAAAATGACTAGGGTGTTCTGTCCCTCTTACCCTTCTGGAAAAATTTGGAAGCACTTCAGGTCGTTTGAATCATTAAGATTTCTGTGATAACTTGGAACATGACCTAATGATATCCTTAGCTTGAAGTTTGTCTTGGTGCTATTCTTATGCCTTTCCTCTTTGCAGATGTGTTCATATCACAGGTGTAGTCTGCAGCTGTATACACTCTGGGCATAGTCCAGAGACTAGCTTTAGCTTCTGCTGTAGCTAACAGACTGCCAACTTCGTAAGCATGCAGTCAGTCCTTCTGTACCTTTCCACAGTATTTTTCTTTTGTTTTCTGGACAGAGAGGTTCCCTTAACTAACTAGGAATCAGGCTGTCTCAGTTTCCAATAGGATGAAGAACAAAGAGGTGACTGGAAAGTCTAGCTCTGTAGTGAGAGTGAGGTGCAAACTAAATGCAAGGTAGTGAGAGAATTGCTTGTAGCTGTTCTTCCCTAGGTCTAGAAAGGAAGATAATACTTCAGGGCTTGTTTTCCTAGGTTATATTTATATCCTTTTGCAGGATGGAGGCTGAATGCCATTAAATGGGGCAGCTATAGCCTCATCTGAGTTAGTGAGTCCAAAATCTGTCTTTGCACAAAAAGCCTTCAAAATAAACTATTTACTTTTTTCTTGGAATTTTATTTGTGTTTCTACCTCCTATATTGTAATTGACTGACTACCGTCGTCTTTGTACTTCACCCCGTTTACTTGTGGTCTTCTGAGAATAAGTTGCTCTAACTGTCTTGAGAAGATGGGATAAAACAAAACCTCAGTTATTATTTTAAACTTTAATAGAGCGAGCTTATTATAGTTTAAAACATTTTTTGCCAGTTACATTGTCTGGATTGTCATGTTTTCATAAAGTTATTGGAAGATAAATTTTATGCTCTTTGTCTAAAGTCTTCATTTGTTGCATGGGTAATGCATCTAAACTGCTCTATTTAAATTCCGTGAAGCAGTTATTGGTACTTGTCTTTTTTTATAACAGTAAGCAGAACAGTTTTTAGGGAAAAATAATAAAAATGTAACTGAGCAAGTAATCTTCAGAAGGTGAAAGTTACAAACCACAAAAGGGAAGGTGTCAAGAACTGCATGCAAGCGGTTGACTGCTCACATTACTTTGTATGTATCTAGGCACTTGATAGTTAGAAAGGTTGGAAAGAATGCTGCTTTAAGCCTCTAAACAACTTCTGCTTTGTCAGCAGTCTGGTGAAAATGTAGTTTGTTGTACGGAATTTGCTTCTTTTTAGGTAAGTGGCGTGCATTTGTTTGTTCAGGTTGTGATGCATTCTTTTGTCTTGAACTAATTTGATCTTTACAAATGAGTCTATGTGGTCCTCCTATGGCTTGCAAGAGAAAAGAAATTCTTTTCTTTTCCTAAAAGAAAAATAGATATTTGTTTTCTGATCGTTGATTATTTTTTTAACTGTTTGCTAACTACATTTAAACTTACCTATATTTCAAATAGAAACTGATAATACTGTTATTTCTTACTCCATAGACAGCAACATAAAGCTTTGTGTAAGATCTAAATGCCTATCTCTTCAGGAATCTATAACTTCACATGTGGGAAAAAGATTTTTTAGGAAGAGTACTTTAACTTTTGTGAGAAGAAAGTGTGCCGTAAAATGCCTGAATTCGCTATAGGCTGATGGTCTTCAGCAAAAATTTCATATGTAGTTTTCTGTATGTCATTGGTCATTTAAATAGAAATGTTTTCAAAAACAAGATATATGCAACTGTACCTCTTCGTTTTTATTTTTTTTAAAGCTGGTAAGATTTTTTTTTAAATTCTTTTGCTAGGGAAGTTATGGGGTTTGCCTGATAGAAACTTGTTGGGCTGTTAGAAATGGAAAAAAAGTTTAGTTCTAAATATTTATCAAATGTTGATTTATAGAATTGCAGACTTGATATTGCTTCATTTTGCTTAATTCACTTTAAGATAAGAACAGTTTAACCTGTTTTATTTTCTGGAAGCATGTCATACTGAAGACAGAATGGTTTATGTGAAGTCTTCATTTTATTTACACTGAGTATGATTTAATAAATATTGTTTTATAGCAGTCTGTCCCTTAGACAGAGGGAACACAATTTTTTCTTGGGGTGTACCTAAATGTACAAAAGTAGTTCCTGAAAATGAATAAGTGTCTTAATTTGCTTGTTATATGTATACCTTCCAGCCTTTTGCAGGACTGATAATTCTTGCCAAACTTCTTGAGTTCAGGATTTTTGTTTTGCTTTCACTTGTTGTTCTTGTATTTTGTGAGGTTGACTTGGATTGTGATTTCAGGGTTGTACCTGAGGGATAATAAGTGACTTCTGTCTCAGTGTTTTGTATTTGCTCTGAATTAAATTTTGGGCAAGTAGACTCCAGCTTAAGTTGATCCAGAAATAAACCAGAGCACAGGCCTTTATTGCATAAGATCCCATTCTGGATTTGTTTCACTTCATGTCCATTTGTGGTGATACACAGCTCTCATTCCTTTCATGAGGGTTCTATATACTTGCATTTGGGTGAATCTTTAGATGTCCTTTGTCAGTTCAGCTGGTATTGCTGTTCTGGCGTTGACAGTGCAAGCACTGAAGCTACAGTGTTGTAGCTGCTCCTCTCCATGAAGTCTCATTTCTGTTATAAACTTTAGCAGCTTCTCTAGATGAGAAGTTTTTCTTTACTTTTTTTGATTTGAGCTTTCACAAAGCCTTGACTCTTCATATGGTTTCTATTTCTATTCATTAGGCTGCAGTGCCGAAAACCAGTAGTTTTTTATTTCACATATCTAACATAGAGTTCAATATTACTAGAATGAAATAGCGCAGTATTTTATTTGTTTTCTGTAAGTGCAAAACAATCTTTTGATTCACACTTCCTCATAAAGCTGATCTCATCACAGGCCCATGTTTCTGCTTCCTGGATTGCAAATTCCATGCTGGAGGCCTAGCAGCTGTTAGAGGAAAAAAATGCATGTGGCAATATTAGGATAAACCTTTCCAGCTGTGCTGTCTAGTATATTGATGGTTCATTTGCATCACAGTGACAACTGGATTCAATGTTGAGGAGCAAAGTCCGTGGTAGCCTCTTGTTGTTTATCTTGAGGGTGTTTCTGGTCCAACTGATTGTAGCAGTTTCTTCTTCCCCTTCAGAATTCTTTCTTTTCCTTTGGTTTATCTGTTCATTATGAAATTACTATTTTTGCTCCAGAGAGCAAAAGCCTGTTTTAATGATGTGGGGATTCTATTTGAGCTTTGTTTCAGGTGTGTGGGCTCTTTGTTTCACTTGTCTATATGTTTGGTAAAGTTGGTGTTGACTTTTTAACCTCTTGTATCATTTATTGCCTGCAACTTTTAATGTTTTTCTTTTTCTTTTTTTTTTTTCTCATTAACTTGAACTAACCTTGATTCCCTTCTGGGATGTGTAGCTCAGGGTTTGTTTGTTGTTGGGTTTTTTTTTTTTTGTGAGGGGACCATGATAGGGAAAGCCAATTCAAGTCTGGCAGTGGAAGAAATAAACAGAATTTATATTACTTGAGGAGTTGTATTCTGGTGTAGGAAAAGTGGCTCTGTTAAATGTTCTTGTTTGCTCATTTCCCCAAATCTGAAATCTGTTTCATGGTCAAGTGTTTTTGTGGGTTTTGGTGGGTTTTTTTTTTTGTTACATTTCAAACAGGTGAGTAAATCTTCAAGTCCTGATTTGCAGAAGCAACAGTACCAGCAGTAGCAGCGCTTGTGCAACAGCTAATTTATAGCACCAGGGAAAGCAAGTTCCCAAAGGATGAGAGGAACAAAAAATTGGCTCTACAAGTAAAGGGAAAATAAACTGTTAATGAAAAGTTACGTCTTTCCTCCTAAATGCTTTTTATGAGTAAGCATCAAAGCAATTGGTAAAGGAGGTCAGTACCATGACCGGTGTCTATAAATTGGTAACAGAGAGAGAGAAATCCACTTTTTTTTGCTCAGTCAGTTAGGTTAGGTACATGGCTTCTCAATAGGAAATGGCTCAGCAAAGGCCTGTGAACAAGATTTGGTGGGGTGGTGTGTTCATTTGCCTTTTAAAGTGCATTCCTGAATTCTTTCCAGTTTGCACTTGTTTCAGATGATCTGCATCTCAGTATAGAAATGTGGAAGATCTTATTCATGTCCATTACTATGTCTTGGGTTTTTGCAGTGTCTTCAGAAGGAGTGAGGGTTGAACTTTCCATGGCTAGTTGCCATTTGGACAGCGAGCTGTTGTAGTTCCACTTTCCACGCTGGCTTTGGTGTTTTAGGAAGGTTTTGAAAGGTTCCTGTGCCAGAAGATTGAATTCATAATTCTCTTATTTCTGGTTACTGCTATAGTGTTTTGAACTTTCTGCTTTAACAGCAAATTAAAAATTTTTTATTATTTTA